GTGTGACACACACATGGCTGTGCACGGCCGTCTAGACATCATAGAGGAGGTAATAAGGGTGACCTGGGAGGACATGCATCTTCAGGACCATCTGCCAGGCTGGCGGCTTCATAAGGCTCAGGCCAACCTTGCGTTAGAAATCGGGAAAATCCAGGCCTGTCCTAATCCCTGGCCACCTCATTAATCATTTCCCTGCCCTATCTGGGCCTGCGGGCTGACCAGCCCCCAACAGACCCTGCTTCCCTTGGGGCCTTGCTTACGTCGGCCAGAGATCTCTGCATAATTACAGATGAAAAAGTGGAAATTCAGTCACTGTGTTTTGTTATATAGCCAGTTTGTAACCTGGGGTCCATAAACTTGTATGGGGAAAAAATTACACTTTATTTTCACAAACCTTAGCATTCCCATTCATTATAAAAACACAACAAACCATAAAAGTAGTAACAGTACTTTGATTTTGTCATCAGTATATATCACAGATAATTTCATCCCATTGTAGTCATTGCAAATATCTCAACATATCATTTATTCTAATCAGTATGTCAAAATTGCAGTAGTTAAGATCTGATGTTATGTTATTTGGTGAATTAATAAATATATAAATTTTACATCAAAAATTTAATTTTTAATGCTCGAATAAAAAATGTTAACAACCCTAAATAAAGACCATTTCAAAATCCCAACCTGTCATTTGGCAAAATTGCCACCAGGAGGCGGGACAACAAAAGGAATGTCATATCTCAGTAGTGAAGTCCAGGAAGGGAACAGGAATCCTAGAGTCCTTCCCTGCCAGGCCTGTGACTGAGGAAAACCGCTGAGTGCCAGAGCCAGGAGCGGCATCAGAGAGGGATTCTCTTAGATTTTATCATCTGGGGAACTGAGAAGCAGGCAAGGGTAGAGGCTGGACAAGAAGGACCCAGGTCCCCTGGCACACAGTTCTGACACACTGAACCACCGGATGCTCCTGATTAAGCGGGACTTGGCACTGCTCTTGTCCTCTAGTCTTCCTGCCCCTACCCATCACTGTTCCCATCTCTCCTCACTCTAGACGGTGGAGAAGACGGTGGAGCACCTGGAGGCAGAAGTGAAAGGCCTACTAGGCCAGCTGGAGGAGCTGGCCTGGAACCTGCCCCCAGGACCCTTCAGCCCAACCCCCGACCTCCTTGGAGATGGTGAGTGGTCCAGGTGGCAGAGATGACAGCCTCCAGGGCTGGGCAAGCAGGATGGGACGGGTGCTCACTGCTTCACCACACTGGTGTAACCTAGAGCAAGCTGGGAGAGGTTCCAGCTTTTTTTCGGGACAGAAGTGAAAAGGCATCTCCCCCAGTTCACCCCAAATGTTCTCTGCCCCCACCCCCACTCCGGGGTTGTTGCAGCCCAGCATCAGGTCAGGGCTCCCGGAAGAGCTGGCCCCAGTTTACCACCTTGACACAGAGCACCTGCCTCCTTCACTAGCTGTTTTCATCCCTCCAAGCTCCTCAATTCCTTTCATTTCCCTTCCAAGAAATACTCCTGTGCCACCACAAAACTTTCAGGAAAGACTGACAGCGGAGGGATGGCCACCCTGCTCCCAGCTTGAGCCTTGTGTTCTCTGACAAAGGAGTACCCGGGGAACTGGAGGGGAGGGCAGGGTGCCTTCAGCACCCCCTGCTTGCTCACTCAGAGTCGCCCCCTTTCTTTCAGATCACTTTTGAACACCAGAGCCCAAGTTGCCCGGCAGCTGGAAGAGATACACCTAAGAACAGAGCTGGGCATCCTGACCTTCCTTCTTTAGCTCCGTGAAAACCAAAAGCTACTCCTTCGGTCCCCTCTGTGTCTGCAGACAGAATGACCCCTATAGCTGTAGCCCCTTGTCTATCTACTCCCATGCCCTGAGGCCCACACTCCCGTGCAGGCTCAGACCTGGGAGACCCCTGTCTGTCTATGTGTACCCACCCTCCTTCTTTATAGGAGCAGACAGGGCAGAGTTGGTTCACAGAGGTGAAGCACTTGAGATCCAGAATCATAAGATGACACAGCGGACGGGTGTTTTGGGCAGCCTTGCTATTCAAAACATGGCTACAGATGAGCAGCAGTGGCCTCACCTGAGAGCTCGTCAGAAATGCAGAATTTGGAGCCCCACCCAGACCTCCTGAATCAGAATCTACTGTTTAATGAGATCCCCAGGGGATCTATATGCACATTAAAGTTTAAAAATTCTTTTCTATTGAGATACAATTCACATAACACATAATTCAAAATTTTAACCATTTTAAACTGTACAAATTCAGTGGCTTTACAATTTTGTACAGTCCTCACCTCTCTAACTGCAGAACATTTTGATTACCCCGAAAGAAAACCCTGTACCTATTAAGCATCACTTCTCACATCCCCTCGCACTGTCCCTGAAAAACACTAATATTTCTGTCTCTATGGACTTGCCTTTCCTGGACATTTCATATAAATGGAACCATACAATATGTGGCCTTTAGTGTCTGACTTTTTTCCACTTGAGCATTATGTGTTCAAGGTTCATCCATGTTATAGCTTGTATCAGTACTTCATTCCCTTTGATGGCTGTACTTTTTGAATAATGCTATTAACAGTCATGTATGTTTTTGTGTGGACATGTGCTTTCATTTCTGTTGGGTCTATAACTAGGGGTGGAATTGCTGAGTTGAATGGTAACTCTATTTAAGTTTTTGAAGAACCATCAAACGTTTTTGCACAGCAGCTGTACTGTTTTACATTCCCACCAGCAATGTGTATATAAGGGTTTCGGTTTCTCCACATCCCCACCAATACCTGTCTTTATCATAGCCATCATACGAGGTATACAGTGATATATCATTGTGGTTTTAAGTTGTATTTACCTAATGACTAGTGATGCTGAGCATTTTCTCGTGCATTTGTTGGCTATTTGTATGTCTTTTTTGGAAAAATAACTATCCGGGTCCTTTTCCTATTTTAAAACCTGGGCTGCCTTTTGTTGTTCTTAGAGTTCTTTATGTATTAGATATATAATTTGCAAATATTTTCTCCCATTCTGTGGGGTGTCTTTTTACTTTCTTGATAATGCCCTTTGAAACACAAGTTTTAATTTTGATGAAGTCCAATTTATCTATTTTTTTGTTGTTGCTTGTGCTTTTGGTGTCATATCTTAAGAAACCATTGCCAAATTCAAGGTCATGAATATTTATTCTTGTGTTTTCTTCTAAGATTTTTATAGCTTTAGCTCTTACATTAAGTTCTTTGATTTATTTTGAGTTAATTTTTATATATGATGTGAGGTAGATATTCAACTTCATTCCTTTACTTGGTCCTGGGATCCTTGTCAAAATCACTTGAGCAGAGATGTTTAGGTTGATTTCTCAATTCTACCCCATCAGTCTATGTGCCTATCTTCATGCCGGTATCACAGTTTGAATTACTATATATTTGCACTAAGTTTTAAAATTAAAAAGTATGGGTTCCCTGACTTCGTTGTACTTTTTTCCAAGACTGTTTTGGTTGTTTGGGGACCATTCCCTTACAATTATATATGTATTTTAGGGTCAGGCTGTCCATACCTGCAAAAAGGCAGTTGGAATTTTGATAGGGATTGGATCACATCTGTAGATCAATTTGTAAAGTATTGCTGTCTCAACAATACTATCTTTCAATCCATGAGCACAGGATGGTTTATATATTTGAATTTTTCAGTATATAAATCTTATGCCACCTTGGTTAAATTTATCCTTAAAGTATTTTATTCTTTTTGGTATTATTATAAATGGAATTATTTTCTTAATTTTTTTCAGATTGTTCATTGCTAGTGTATAGAAAGAAATACAACTGACTTTTGAACATTCATCATGTATCCTATCCTGCAGATTAGCTGAATTTTTTATTAGTTTCTGTGTGGATATTTTAGGATTTTCTATGTATACGATTATGTTACCTGAGAGGTTTTTCTTATTTTCCAATTTGGATGCCTTCTATTTCTTTTTCTTGCCTAACTGAGCTATGACTTCCAATACAATGTTCAATAGTTGTGGCACGAGTACTTTGTCTTGTTCCTGATTTTAGGGGAAAGCGTTCTCCACCATTAAGTATGTCAGCTATGGGTTTTTCATAGACACCCTTTATTTTAGGTTGATAAATTTCCGTTATATTCTTAGTTTTCTTAGGTGATTTTTTTTAAAATTTTAATCATGAAAAGGTGTTTTCTCAATTGCTTTTCCAGGATTGAGATGATCATGTGGTTTTTATCCCTCTTCATTCTATTAACATGTATTACATTGATTGATTTTTGTATATTGAATGATCCTTGTGTTCCTTTGCTATATCCCACTTGGTCATGGTGGATAATCCTTTTAATATGCTGCTAGATTCAGTTTGCTAGTTATTTCATTGAGGACTTTTGGCCTTTTCTTGTGATATTTTTGTCTGACTCTGGTATCAGGATGACACTGGTCTCACAGAATGAGTTAGGAAGTGTTCCCTCTATATTTTGGGAAGAATTTGAGAAAGATTGGTGTTATATCTTCTTTAAAAGTTTGACAAAATGCATCAGTGAAGTCCCCTGGTCCTTAGATTTTCTTTGTTGAGAGTTTTCTTGATTATTGATTTAATCTCGTTATAGCTCTGTATGGCTTCAATTTTCAAAAATTTACTTAGTTTTGGGCTATCTGGAGAATTTCCCATGTGCAACTGAGAAGAATGTATGTTCTGTTGTTGGGTGGACTGTTCTATATGTCCATTAGGTCTAGGTGGTTTATAGTTTTGTTTTCTGTTTTCCAGTTTATCTTTTGTCTAATTGTTCTATTCAATAGAGAAAGTGGGGTGTTTAATTCTCCAACAATAATTGTTGAAATATTTCTCCCTTCAGTTCTATCGATTTTGTCTCAAATTTTCAAAGGGCCATATTGTTATGTACATTGATGTTTGTAATTGTTCTATTTTGATAGATTAACCCTTTTATCAGAATATAAGTTGATATCCTTTGTCTAGTAATTTCTGCCTTTTAATTGGAGTTTATTCTATTTATATTTAATGTGTATTCTTGGATGTGTAGATTGTCTTTCATCAAATTTAGTTTTCAGCTATTGTTTCTCCAAATATTTCTTTCTCTCTTCTCTCCCATGAACCCACTATGTGTATGTTAGTACACTTGATGGTGTCCCACAGGCCTCTTAGGCTATTCATTTTTCATTTTTTCTGACTGGGAAATCCCAATTGACCTATTGTGAAATTTGCCCATTCTTTTTTTGCCTTCTCAAATCTCTTGAATCCCTCTAGTGAATTTTCACTTATTATTGTACTTTTTAACTCCATAATTTCTATTTGGTTCCTTTTCATATTTTCTGTCCCTTTATTGATACTATTTGGTGAAATATTCTTCTGGTTTCCTTTAGTTCTTTATTCATGATTTCTTTTAGCTTTTTAAGCTTTCTAAAGAGTTTAGTCTTTGGTAAATGCAATATCTGGGTTTTTGTGTTCCTATGAACAGATTTTTTTTTTTTTCCGGTGTATGGTTCATACTTTGTTTCTTTGCGTGACTCAATTTTTGTTGAAAACTGGGCATTTTAAACATTATAATGTAACAACTCTGAAATCAGTTTCCCCTCCCCAGTTCGTTGTTGCTACTGTTGTATTTGCTGTAGTTTAATGACTTTTCTAAAATTAATTTTTAAACATTTATATTCTTTGTAAGGTGTGGCCATTGAAGCTTCTATTCAGTTAGTTCGGTTGTCACTAGTGATTCGACAAATTTCCTTCAACTCCTGGAACCAAAAAAACTCACAGAAATGTCCCAGTCTTTGTAGATATGTTGTGTATTGGGGCATATCTTTTGACACTCAGCCAGGCAGTTTATGACTCTGCCTTAGCCTTCACTTCCTGCTTGTGCAGAGCCTGGAGATCAGCCAGAGGTGAGAGCTAAGCATGAGCCCAGCCCTGGGCATGTTCATGCCTTTCTAGAATCCCAGGAGTTTGTGGAAGTTCTTCCAAACCATTATTCCCCAAAGCGTCTCATCTCCAGTCATTCCTCCCCAATCTGTTCAATTTGTCTCCTGCTCACCCCAGACTTTGAGTTCCCTACCTCATCATTTTTGCTGACCACACTGGTATTTCAAAAGCTCTACGTTAGTCTACTCCTCATTTTACAAAAGGGCAACAGAAGCCCAACGAGAGGAAGTGACTTTTCCAGGCTTTGCACAAGAAGTCAGTTGCTGAGCTGAGATCAGAATAGGGATGCTCAATTCCTGGACCAGTGCTCTACTTCAGGACTAGGTCAACTCTGATTGCTGGGAAAGAACCAGGTTCAGGTTGAACGCCAGTATTAGGCTAAGGAGAGCTTTCCTAGGAGCAAGGGCTGAGGGCAAGAGCTCCTCGTAGAGTTGGGGACTTGATTGATTGAATGCTTTGCTGAGAGGGGACCCTGCATGAGGCCAAGTGGAAGACTGAGTAATGATGTCCCTGACTCTTAGAGAAACACAGGTAAAAAGAGATTTTGGGTGTAGTGAGGTGAATATTTAAGCTGCTATCTGCCTGGGGAAATGATTTGTTTCTAGATCTGACTCCACATCAACAAGGAGCTGATGGCAGAAAAAAGAGGCCAAGTCCTAGGCTAGGACTATAATTCTCCACTAGAGCAAGAGCATGGATATGGCCTGGCCTAAGCTGTTGCTTGGACCATGGGTATCTGCAAAGGTTCATCTCTCAGATCTCTCTCTTCCTAAAGTTGAGAGTGAGCTTGTCCTATCTCCCATCACTTGACTGAATTCCAAACACCCTGCCACCTGCTGACCTGCCCTCGGTGTGAACACCTCTCGTCTCAAAAGTTCTTTGTCTTGGTGTAGGAGAATTCAGTTCAGCATCAGAATCATAACTACAGATGCAGTTTCCTGGCCCCAATGCCTGCTCAGAACCTGTGAGGGTGGGGCCCAGGGACCTGCACTTTTAATGAGCTCCTCTGATGATCCCGATATACACGGAGGTTTGAGAACCACCACTTCAGGGCCATTTCCCCATCTGCGAAGTGAGACCTCCAAGGTTCCTTCCCTAAATTGTGTGCCTGAGACAAGTGACTCACTTGCCTCACTCTAGTCCCAGCCCTACCCCTAACACACAGTGTTGCTTCCAGTGACCCACAGCTGTTGAAAATTTACTCAGCGCTGAATTCATTTCATGCCTCATCCTTTATTCCGGAAGTGACATTAGATGTGCAGCATTGACTGGCCTTGACTAACATCTCTAGGAGGCAGCAAAAGATGCAGTGCAGCCCTCTCCCAGAAAGATGACCTTTACAAGTCAAATATCCCCTCCCCATCTTTTTGTGTCCTGAGCATACTCAACAGTGTTAACGACCACCTCCCACTGACTTTGAAAGGCAGTAGGTGCCTTTGCCCCTGGAGAGAGCCGTGAGTTCACAGTCCTCCAGCCCATACTTACTATGGGTTGGGTCCAAGGACACGTCCAAGAAGGCAACATGAGGGACAGGGAGCCAAAGAGAACCAGAACCAGGATAAACATGGGTGGCCCCAAATGCATAGATCAGGGTCTCAAAGTCAAAGGCCTGCAGGGGCGATGGTATAAAACATTAGGGAGTGGTGGAGCCTGTGGTGAAATGGAGAGTACATTTCGAAAGGGGACAGCTGCAACTGGGCTCCAGCAGCAAGTGCTATGCAGGAAGGCTGGGCCAGTATTGCCAGAATTTCTGATTTTTCAAGAGAAGCCAGAGTCTAGATTTTTTAAAATATGAAAGCTTTCAATGTTTAATGTTGGCAACAATTTCAAGTGTCTAAAAAGACTCTTTGGAGACAAAAGGAAATGCATGTACAGATTAGATGTTGCCTGCTGGGCACCAGGTTGAAACCTCCGGTGTAGACAACAGGGCAAAGTAATGTCACAGGACATTTACAGTCACATTAGAGCAGGCTGAATCTAGGCCCTGGCACAGGTCTGGAGGCCAGAGGGTTAGCCTGAGTTCATGGAGAGTCGTGCAGTGCCAAGGAGTCCATCCTATTGGGCAGATCCCACCTGGCACCCAAGGACAAGGGGCCTGCCCTATGGAAGGAGCTCCTCAGCCAAGCATGCTGGGTCTTGGTCAAGAGGCTCCAGGCATGGAAACTGGGGCAGAGCTGAAGTGATGAGTAGGGCTTGCCATGGAGTCCAGTGCCCACATTGGTCTTCTCTAGTTGAGGAAGGCAGGTCTTGGTATTCCAGGCCAGTGTTGAGCTCATGGCTGCCCCGTGGGTTATCCTCTCTCTCCTCTCACTATGTCCAGAGGGCAGTGAGGAGTCAGGCAGTATCCCCGAGCAGATGTCTACTCTGTGGACAGGCCACACTTGGGGGCCCTGGCCAGGGCCCAGCAGGTCGATCTCTGGATTCTCTCCTTTCTAAACTTCCCACTTAGCAGGTCGGAAAGGGAGTGAATAGACTCATGACCAGCAAGGCACGCTCCAGGCTTCTGGACTTAACAATGATTTCTAGAAACTTTGCCCCTTCTGGATTTATCTTCTCCTAACACCATCAACCAAGGGACAAGGGGCCCCTCAGGACCACAGCTAGGACCACTCCAAAGGAAGGGGCTGATCTTATGCCTCTGGCCCCTGGATGCAAGGCCTACGCAGGAGTCATGTACACATCCTCTTACCTGTGCGCCTCCTTCAGGACCTGGGTGAAGGACCACACTCTTCCTATCTCGCTCTCAGTGGACTTTACCGTGTCTGTATATGACCAAAATCCCTGTGCCTTATGAGTGTCTGGGCCCAGAACTTGGATTGCAGGAACCTCCCTTTCTTGGGTCCTCACAACCTGAGTCCCTGTAAATTACTAATCCTCAGTTTCTTGAGCACAAGTTTCTATTTAAAGTCATATAAATTTTCACTGGTTAATAAGGCTGGACCCCTGGGCTTCAGGGTAGAATCATGAAGCAGAAGAAAACAAGCTGGCATCACGAAGACATTTCCAGAATGTTCCAGAGCTGGCTGACTTTAATTTAGAAACAACTTTTGGCTAGTAACATTCAGGTTTAAGGCACATTCTCAATTACAAGAAGCCCTGTCCCTGGCAGGGAGCTGGCTTTGTTCTCGTGGTTTTACGTGGTGGAAGGAACAGATGACTTTCAGGCTCTTTTTTTCTTTTCTAAAAAGCAGTGAGTTTGGCAATAACAAGGTTCATGACACATTCTCACCAGATGCAAAAATTACCCTTAAAGTTCTTCCCTTTTACTCCTCAGTGAGGACATGGGGCTCCCCCACCCAACCTCTCACTCCAAATGTGTATGGTAGCAAAGAGACTCATATGCATCTGTTGGGCAATGACTAAAAACAGAATGCCTCCAAATAAACGTAAAATTACATGACTAAAATGAAGGCGAGTATCTCAGCTACGAGCAAAGAGGAATGATTGCATGAGGCAGGAAACGAAACATCTACTTTAGCAGCAAGTGGCTGTGAGGGGTGGGGTCGGGAGGAAAAGACAACCTGAGAGAGTTCCAGGCCCTTCGGCACAAGCAGGACACACGATCAGGAGGGGCGGGTGGAGGACAGGGCCAAGGCTCCACGGACTGTCGGCATCGGGATACCTGGGGGGCTATTTTGTGGGTTTGATAGAAACGGGCATTCTTTTGGCCTTTTCCTGGCATCACTGTTGCTGGCAGGTGGACAGAAGTGAGCCTCCAGTCACCACTCAGTCGTTGCCACCACAGATCTTCAGCAGAATCTTCCGGTAATCCCCTGAAGTGTCTCCCTGGTCACAAAACAAGTACATCAGTTAAAGGAGGTGCAGCCAGTTTTGTCCTCCTGGCCCCTTGTTTTTTGTCTTACGTGCCCTTTCAGAGAGGCAGGCCCCACCCCGGTGAAGTGCCTCATCACGCAGGTCCCCGAGCGGCCAAGAGCATGGCAATCACGGAGGCTCACACACTAGGCGGCGTGGGCAGCCCAGGCCTTGGACAATGCAGTTTAGCCTCCTCAACTCTCTTTTAATAAACAGAAAGCTGAAATCACCCCGATGATCAGTCAGATTTTGAAAAAGAAACACGAAAAAATTTTAAACAGTCAGAAAAACCCCTATTCAGAGCTAACTAATGTGGCATTTTCCCGGTGCATTTTTTGTTGCGCTCAGTAGTATGTCCCACTCAGAAACTGTACTGTCACATGACCTGCAGTGGAGGGTGCTGTTATTATTTGGGCATCCCAGTTCACACTGCTCTTCCTTCATCTGAGTCCACGGGACTTACTTCAGAAGGGCTGTCCAGCCCATGCTGAGCTAATTTCTAATCATTTCCTTCCATTATTTCCTTCCTTGAGGGCAAGGCCTATAGCTTCTTCGAGATGCCCACAGCCCCCCTTTGTGACTAATTACTTTGTAAATAATTACTAATTCTCTGCTACCAAAAGCATCATTTTTATAGCCAGGGAAATGGAAGTTAGTTTCTTTCAGCCCAACGTCAAGTGCTAGTGAGTCTGAAATCAGGACCTGGTCGTAATGACTTCGGTTGCAAGGTTCATGTGAGTTCATAATTTAACTGTGAGACCACCAACAGGAACGTATTTTGCCGGACTGGTTCCAGCACGTGGTGATAAAGGAATAGCTGGCACTTATCAGACACTCATATGCATCACTCAGTATGCTTTACGTGGACCACCTCATTCAAGACTCAACACTCCTGGGGAACCCGTCATTGTAATTGTCTCAAGAATGATGGAACTGGGTTCAATGAGGTTTACAGAAGCCACTCGGGATCACAGAGTAGGCAAGCAGAAAAGCCAGAACTGGTTCCCCAGCAGCATGACATGACCCTCACTCTGAACTGCCTTTCCTGCAGCCTTCACCATAACAAAGCTGAGAGAAAGAAGTGACTCATAGTGAGCTGAGCTACACACCAGGGAGCCTTGGGACATGAGTCTCATGTACAGTCACAGAATCAAAGGGTGGCCAGTATGAAGGCCAGGCAGCAGGTGGGGAAGGTCCTGTTTCCTCTGATGCCACTGTTTGGAACTCCCTCCCCCATCCATTCACTGAGTAGCAGAAATGCTGGATCTGGGGACACAGCATGGGGGTGACAGCAGGGTGACAACCCACCCTGCCCTCAGGGGCTTACAATCAGTTTGGAGGTGAATGGATGAACAAGTGAAAGTTGAAGGGAGAAAGGAAACAAGACGCCCATGTACTGCAGGGGATAGTGGAGGAGGCCAGGGAGGTCCGCAGCCGAGTGGGATGCCCACAGGCAGCCCGGTGACCCGCAGAGGCCCATACCGTGATGTCATGGTACAGCGACTTGCCATACAGCCTCTTATACTCCATTCTGATGTCCAGGAGGTCAATCTCACTGCGAGACACCATGATGCGAATCAAGGTCCGGTCCTTTGTTCCCGCTCCCTGAAGAGAATCCATGGAGGGTGTGAGCAAGGGCCTCCTCACCATCCCGCCTTCTCCAGACACTCTGGTCCCCTCCTGCCCATGGGCCCTCTGTCCTCTCGGCTGAGGTGTGGCTCTCCCCATACCTTCTACCCTGAGTCCTTGGTCCCAGTCACAAGTGGGGCTAGACACCCCCCACCTAGACCTTGCACGTGGGAGTTACGTACCCTCATGGCTTTGTTGAGCCTTTCAGCAAAGAAGGCGGGGGTATTCTTGAGACATTTCACTAGAAGAGAGAAACACAGCATAACTCGATGTGCAGGAAACTATCAGTCCGCGGGCATGGAGTACAGTGTCCTCTTAGGTGCCAGAGGCCTAGTCTATCACTGTAGCCATCCTCCTCTTCTCCTTCTCCAAGCTCAATTATCCATGGTCTTGGCTCCTGTTCTTCGGAATAAAAACATGCAGGGCCCAGACACCAACCCAACTTCCTTCCTGGCAGCCAACAAGCTGAAAGGAGCTGTGCAGGGGAGAAACGGTGATGAGAAACCGTGTTGCTGCTCAGGTGGAAGGGGGTGAACTGGAGATGCTGTGACCCTTATGGAGAAAGGATGGCCAACTGGGATGAACGTGTCTCCCCAGTGTTCTCAGGTCATGAAACCTATTTAAGTGACACGTGGAGAAACAAGGATCATCATCTGCCCTATCAGAAAGCTCCAAGAAAAGCAAAGCGAAAGATGGGTAAACTGTGATTTTCCCAAGTGGGTGTAAAGAGGGGCCAACCTCTCATGGGAGGTGGGACCTGGAGCCCATTAGTCCCTGCTTTAGTGGGTAGGGCACGGGTACCACCAGCAGCACAGCATCGTCCTGGGAGCTAGGCCAACTTTTCTTTTAGCAAGAGCATGTGTTGCTGTTGCAACCACGTGTTTCCATCACAAATATCTGACAACTGCCTACAGGGATGTATTTTTAGAGGAAATTTGGCAGGATATGAGTCATCTCCAGCAGGGCAGTTGGCTGCTTTCCCTCTAATACCCACACTACAGCTCCCTTCCCAGAGCTGCAATTGAAATAGAAACAAGACACCTCTAGAAGAGCTGGGGATAAAGCTCCATGGTGACCCGAGAAGCAGTATGACTCCCAGCACTTAGGCATGCTGGCTTTAGCAATCCTAGATCCTGCACTTTTTTCACTGCACTGCCCCTCAATCGGAGCATGACGAGCACCCAGCGAGCCTACAGCACACACCAGTCCGTGGTGGGCAGGCAGGCAGGCCCAAGACACCTACCCACGGCCAGCATGCCCTGCTCCAGGTCCCCGGACATCTCCCGGCAGATGCTCTTCTCAATGTCTCGACCTGTCATTCGCTGATACTCATTGAAAACTAGTGGGAAGAGAGAAGGGATATGTTATAGACTGAATTCTGTCCCCCTCCTAAATTCATATGTTGAAGTCTTAGCCCCCAGTACCTCGGAATGTAACTGTATTTGGAGATACTTAATTACCAGTAAAGAGATAATTAAGTTAAAACGAGGCCCTTAACCAATCTGACTGGTGTCCTTATAAGAAATTGGGACACACAAGGAAACACCAGGGATACACACTCAGAGGAAAGACCATGTGAGGATGCAGCAAGAAGGTGGCCTGGCCATCCGCAAACCAAGGAGAAAGGCCTCAGAAGAAGCCAAACATGCTGACACCTTGATCTTGGACTTTTAGCTTCCAGGACTCTGAGAAAAACAAATTTCTGTTGTTTAAGTCACCCAGTCTGTGGTATTTACTACAGCAGCCAGAGCAAACTAACATAGGACACACAGTGAGGAGGCCTCTGCCCCTTCTCAAGCCCACTTCTCCCGCTCTGCTCCCAGCACCTGGACAGCCCCACTGACAATGCCTGCCCAGCTCTCAAATCAGCGAAGTTCTTCACCGCACAAGTCACGTGCACCCCATCTCCCACACCTGCTCATGGGGTCCGTTTACCTGGACTGCCCTCACCAGGCTGCTTGCCTAAACCATGTCCAATCCCCCACCTAGGAGCTCCACCTCGAATACACAATAGTGATCCCTCTCTTCTAGATCTCTACACCTCCAGTCCACGCCACCCTCTCCCCATTATTCCATGCGTCCGTCTTGTCAGTCCTGTCATTCTCAATCTGACTCTGAGCCAACACCCATCCGGCCCCCCAGCTAACACAGGACGAGCCAACACTCACGAGAAGTGACTGAGGTTCCCAGGGAAGCAGGAGGCACCATGGAGCCCTGGGTCCTAACTCAGAATATAAATCCCCTCTCCCCCAGCCTGGGTCTCAGTTCCTTTCACTGTTCCCCAAACTTCTGGCATTTACATATCGATGTCGCGATTTATGCTATATCTGCATCCATCTTCATTACTCAATATTTTCTTCAGATCAGCTCCTCTTTTTTTTCCTAATAACGTTTGTGAAACCAGGGTTTGATGTGCTACTTATATGTTCTATACTCATTAAAATAATGACTCAAGATAAAATTATGTTCACTCATTCTCCATTATAGTGCCCTTACAGTACCAGAGCCTCAAACACCTTTGACCCATTCACAGCTCCCAAACTTCCATCTCTAGCCCAGAGCTTTCCTGACCTCCAGACTTACAAACTCAGTTGCCTACCTGATATCTCTAGCCCGAGAATCCTATTTCCTTCCCTCCTAAAGCCTGCTCCGTCCACAGCTTTCTCAGTCTCATTCTTCCACTGGGTTGGCCAGAAGAAATGCTGGTATCACATCCTTGCCTGCTTTCTTTCTTCCATACTCCACATCCAATTCATCACCCAATTCAGAGGCCAGAATCTTACCCTTCTTACCGCCTGCACCTGCCGCCTGGTCCAAGCCACCACCATTTCTCCTCTGGATACTGCAGCAGCCTCCTAACAGGTGTCCTGCTCTGCCATGGGCCCCTTTACTCTTCTCAACACAACAGCCAGTGAACTTGCAAAACCTTGTTAGTCAAATCACATCCCTCCTCCACTTAGACCCCTCGATGGCTTCCTGTTTTACTCACAATAAAAAACCTAAGTCCATACAGTTGTCAGCAGAGCCTCCTGTCATCTGTGACCTGACCACTCTCAGTCACTCCGTCTGCTCCAGGCTCACCAACTTTCAGTTTCTCGGTCACACTGGGAGGCCCCTTCTCAGGGCCTTAGTACCTGCAACTCCTTCATGTTGTTAACTCAAATGTCATTACCTTAGTGAATACTGCCCCAAGCAGCCCCCCAAGTCCCATCATTCCCCATCTCTGTTTCCAAGTTTGTTATTTTTCTCTAAATGGCTAGCTAGCTGGTATAGATTTTACTTAATTTTTGTTTACTGCCTGTCTCCCCAAACAGGTAGGTGAACCCCATCAGAACAGAGATTATACAGTGCTGTTCCCACTGCTTCCCACACCTACTCCATGATCCTCTGGCACATGGCAGGAGCTCAATTTATATTTTTTGAATGAATGAATAAATGTTACCAAGTATTATTGTTATGTTTCTTTTTTATGCCACACTTGGAAAACATTGAATTAGGTGCTCTTAAAGACTCTCTCAAGTCTAATATTCCACATCCTGGCATATAAAGATACTAATCAACAGAAGGCTGCCATTTCCCTCATCTCTGCCTTTGCTTTCCTCCAGAACTGGATGCTTGCAGAAACTCGGAGACCTGCTGATCTTTTAAATCACCACCAGGAGACTTTTAAGGAAGTGAGAGCCCCATGCAAAGCAGAACTGCCAAGTGTTCCTGCAAGCTCCGTTTCCCCACCATACTTTGTCTGCCCTCGTTACCCAGCCCCAGGGAGGCCTCGGACTGTCTTACCTGCCACCAGGTGGGCTCGGCTCCGGGAGCACAGGACCGCATTGAACTTGGACTCATCTGTTCCCAGGCGGTTCTCCCCAGCTGCATATAGCTCCTGAACAGACAGAGGGATAGACAGGCATGCAACGCAGGCCTCAAGCCAGACACCAGGCCCAAGTCACCTACGAGAGCTAGGCAGATACTCCAGGCCCCGCTGGCCCAGAGGGGAAGGAGAGGGGAGCAGCGCTTCCACTGTGCTTCATTTACTGTGCGGAACTAGACACCACGGAGGATTCTAAGGCTGAGGAGAACTCAGGACGAGGAGAATCGAGGCCGACTGGGGCCCAGGACAGGCAAGGAACAGCTTTAACGCAACCCAGGGAGCAGCAGCACAAAGGAAAACATGGGATGAGTGGCCTAGGCTTGAGTCCTAGCTCTGTGCCCAACTGCCATAGGACTAGGCAGGCTGCTGGATCTCTCTGAGCCTCATTTCCTCGTCTCTACAATGTGAAGGGTTAGATTAGATTCGGGGTCACAAACCTCAAAGCCCAAAGGGTCCAGATGGGTAACCCGAGGGAAACAGGCCAGTTTTAAGGCCAGAGAGCAGTGGAGAACCAAAGCTAATACACACAGTGGCGGTTATTTCTCAGCATCATCTGAGTACAACAACAGAGGAATGTAGGCTCATAGCTGCCAGATCCAGCTCTCATGAGAAGCCAGAATTCTGATTTCTGTATAAGTTTCCCAATCTATAAAAGTACCTTCTCTAACTATAAGAGGGAACATGTGAGAAAATAAATATTACGACAACTGATAAATCAGTTACAGATGTGGGGTTTTATGTGACAGGCACTTTTCCTGTGTTTGGTTGCATATGCCATTATGTTTGCAAATGGACAGAATTTGCACTTGCCTGGTAAGCTTATGAAAGCGTGAGCCTGAAAATATTTGCCAATTTGCAACCCCTGCACCAGATGGCTCAAAAGTGCCTTCCGGCCTCAGGTAGCAGCTCTTGGATCTAAAGCCACCAATACCCAGGGGAAGAAGGTAGCCATTAGGGGCTCAGAGACCCCACTGGTCAAGGTGACGCAGGTGCAGGTCCAGAACTAAGAAGGCAAAGCAGCAGGCATGAGACCTTGAAACTGACGCAAGTTCTGCCTCAGGTAGGAAATAGCTTATGTAGGAAATCGGAATAGGAAAATTCCCACTGGGGCCAGAGCCGAGCCTGGGAGCTTTGAGGGTGCCTAACCCTGAGTCTAGAAATGGGAATGGATGTCTCATAGCCAGAACTGCTACGGTCTGAATTCATTAGTGGGAAACCCAAACTCCTCCAGAGAAGCACTCAGATGCCTGGACAAAGAGAAGAAATGATGACTTTTCCTCCTTTGTTTGCAGTTCACACCAATCTGGGGAAAAGAGTAGAATTCTAAGGCTGTGCAACTAATGTGACAGCTGGTTTCTAGGCTCAAACCTTCAAAAGCTTCACAGGCAAGTGTGAATTCTGCCCATCTGCAAACATAATGGTATACACAACCAAAAAGGGAAAGTATCAAGTCACATGAGGTCTCACATCCGTAACTGTGATCTACCAACTGCTGTGATAGTTGTTATGTCATATGTTCCCTCTTCCAGGTGGGGAAACTGAAGCCCAGAGAGGCTGGTTGACCTGTTCAGGGCCACACAGCTGATAAGCAGCAGAGACCATCTGAAAATCATAGCATCTGGAACCCATTCCTTATCAGTTCTCTTTCCATCCCAGAGCTCCTTGCTCAGGAAGAAAGCACCTGCCTGTCCACTGGCTCAGGAAACCCCAGTAGGGTGCCTGGTCTGGCCATCGCACTCACCTGGACATCTCTCTGGACAAGCGACATATCCACATTTGTGCTTTCATCCCGGTTTCCCTGAAAGGAAGCAGGTTGTGTGGTCAAAGCCTTTCCCTGGAGTCGCACCCCTCCCTCCTCGGTCCTCTTCCTCTTCCTCCTTGCTCAGATTCCGCCCCTCTCTGCTCTGAACGCTGAGCCCTGGACCCTGAATGGTGCCACGGGAAATGTACCTGAGAAAGAGAGATGAGGAGCCGCTGGAAGTGCCCTGATGTGTCGCTTCGAATGGCCTCCTCCAGGGTCTTTTTGAATTCTAGGAGACACAGAGAAAGCCCACCTTGTAGCCCCATGGACGAAGCTCCCCACTACGAACACAGTCAAAAGTGGGCACTAGCAAGAATAGGGCCTGGGAGTCCTGGGCTCAAGGAGACAGGTGGCCCACACAGCTCTCTAGAAACACACAATTGGAGATCTATGAGGGGCTGTGATGTTCAGGGTGATCTGGCCTCTGGTCAGACTTAGACCAAACCACACCCAAGAGGTTTTCCCCAGCTCTCCTTTACGTCAGTCACCTGCCATAGGTGCGAACAGCAGGCAAGGTTGGGTCTTTGATCAAAGCCCCATGGGTTGAAGCCCCATGGGTGAGAAGATGAAATGATATGAATGCCAGGAAGAAATAGAGGCCCTGGGAGAGGGTGTGGCCAAGCCCTGAACACACAGGGATCTGCAGAGGGCAGAGGGCAGTGGGTCTCAGGGCCAGCCTAACCTGTTTTGTAGGCTCTGCTCAATTCTCGAATGTGCTCATTGCTGCGAGAGGCAAGGATCTCAATCAGGCAGGCTTCATCGGTGCCAGCTCCCTGCAGAGAACACAATAAACCACAGGCTTATTACAGCTCCCTAGGGCACTGGCATCCAGGAAAAAGAGCAGGTGCCATGCCACTGCCCTACCCCACCCCCCAGGGTACAAATCTCAGCAACAGAAGTCACTAATAAAGACACACCCCTGGTGCTGCTGCTGGTGGTCTGAGTATAGCCAAGCACTCCTCTACAACCCCAGAAAAGTACCAGATAATGACAGTGACATGGTGATGAGTAGAGATCACATGAAGGATCATCTCCTTTATGCCCATCAGGAAACTGAGAATCAGAGGTATAGTGACTTGTCCAAGGCCACACGGTAAACAGTGGGTTTAAAGCAAGAATAGGTATATAGAAATACAGTCTTAGAGTGGACCGCGGAGCATTTGGAGATCTCTCGGAAAAGGCAGCAACAACAAGAATGAGAGGAATGCCCATGTCAGGGACAGTGAGAAGGTGAAAGACAAGGTCACCAACCTGGTTCCTATATTGGTTTGAATCTCAGCTTTGCTTCTGATTGTGTGATCTCTGGAGCATTACTTAACCTCTCTGTGCCTCAGGTTCCTTGTCCATAAAATGAGAGTGATACTAACACCTACCTCATAGGGAAGTCATAAGGATTAAGTGAGTTATGTAGTGAGCACTTAAAACAGAGCCTGTCATGCAGGAAGCACAACACAAAAGTAGCTATTCTACGATTATCGCTACAGTTAGATGTGTTGGAACGGACAAAGCGCTTCTGTCAGCTTCCTGGCTCGGTGCTCTCCACAGGTCACAAGAGAGCAGCCACATTCCCATTTTACAGATGTTCAAGGACACACAACTAGTCAGTGACAGATGACCCCAACCTATATTGTTTCTAGCACCCCACAACCACCACCAACCCATGAATAGCTGGGGCAGGGGCCGAGCAGAGATCTGGAGGCCACTCCCAGTTGGGCCCTCCCCAACTGCCACCTGACCCCCTCCGTAGAAGAAAGCATGTAGGGTGTTTCAGTGGGGTCCTCTCTCCCTTCCGGGATCGATGTTGAATTCTCTGCCTCTCCTCTAGGGGGCAGGGAAAGTCACTGTGTCTATAAGGCCTCTAAGGAATGTTAAGATTCCTTCTGAAGCACCTGTTTGATTCACAAGGATTCCCCTTCTGTGGGAGCTGCACACCCCCATCCACAGGATACTTGCTGTGGGTCTTGGGAGTCACAGCAGTATATGGAATGTAGCAGTCCCTCTGCTTGGTCATAACTGATTGGACTGGGGGAAGATAGTGAACCAAACTAAGCCAATCAGAATCTGCCTTCTATTTGGAATCTGGACTCAGGCAGCCAGTCTCTTCTGTGGTTGAATCTCTTACAGGTAAATGAACGGGGATCCTGTGCCAAGCAGACATGGAAGGAGAAGCATGGAAGCAGACAGAGGAATGAAGTGGACACTCAAGAAGAAGCAGAGACAAGAGAAATCCTGCCTGGGTCTTGCTAGTGACATCTCCTGGTCCCATCCTTCTCCATGCCAAGCTGCTAATCTCTGTTCTCATTACTGATTATCCACTTTGCTCTGTTTATAAAGTCCTCAAAGATGCTTCTTTTATTTGCTAATAACAGAGTCCCAAAGAATGAGGATGACTCCACCCACGCCTCATACCTCTCCCTTTATCACTGTACCACTAGCTTCCGCTAACCCCAATTCCCACTATGTTTTTAAGATGGAGCAAGACTTAGATATTCTTGACAATAAATGACATCTCCTTTGCCTCTTGGGGAGGTCACCAGAAGTCACCTTTTCTATAGCACTTGGACTTCAGCCTGAGAGGGTCCAAGAGCTAAAGTGACAATCGTAGCTAGTGAGCAAGCTGAGACACACCATGTGGTCCAGGCGCACATAAAACAAACCTTGATAGCTTCCTTTATCTCATAAACATCGAAGAGGACTGGAGTCTTCATCATAGCTAAGATTGTCTTCTCAAAGTTTCCTGACAGCTCAGATTTCAGATCTTTGATCAAATCCTGATTGGATAGTCAAACAAACAAACAAACAAACAAACAAACCTATTTTGAGAATTCACAGACGGTAACTAACAGGGACAATATCCCAGATATGAGGACTGGGAACATCAGCAAAATAGCCAAATCTCAGGCCCCAGTCTGGATTCAGAGTTTGCATTTGAACCCGACCCCCAAGAGATCTGTGGCACATTGATGCTGGAGAAGCATTGAGCTAGAACACTAGTCTATTCAGTATTTACCCAGTTTTTATCTAAGATTCATTTGTTCAGTACTCAAAGCTTTTTCCTTCAAAGCCCTTCTATCACCTAAATCTCCCAGGATGGCTGTGAAGAGGGCAGGAGCAGCAGCCAGGGTTCCCAGGAGGGGACACAGGCCAGGTTGGGGTGGAGAGAAAATGACTTGCCCAAGGTCTCCGTGAGTCATAACAGACCCAGGGCAAGAACCCAGAACTCTGGGTGCCTCATCAAACCTCAGTACCCTATAGACTCTCGTATTTACCCCTCTGTGGATCCTCTACCCCTAGAAGATGCCCATCAGCTGAGAGGCCACTGGCTAGGTGGGCAGGAGGAAACACCCTAATGAGCCTTATTGTCTACTCAAGAAATCCAGGCCTACTTAGCTCCAAGGAAAAGCAGGGGAGAGCAGGGCCGTGTTGGAGGATATGCCTCGATTCAGGAAGGACCAGACCTTCCTGTGCCCCCTCCCTATCCACACACACACGCACGCACTCACCTTTCCGTAAGCTGTCTTAAAGGACAGGAGGATCTGCTGCCTCTGCTTGTTGGAACGACTCCCCAGGCAGTTGATGATGGCCTGCTCATCAGTCCCTGGAGGAAGAAGAGGTGGGCGTAGGCAGGGCTGGTGGTCGTGGGGATGCTATATAGCTAGAGACTCCCTGGGCATGGGTCCTCCCATTCCCCTGGGCACCCCAAAGGCTGCCTCTACCCACTGACCCCAGCCCACAGAGCCACTGCAGAACTGTCTGGGGAAATGGGGGGTGGTGAGCATTTGAGTCACCAGGGTCTCTCACCAAAGCCTTTCATAGCCTTTCGCAGGACCTCGGCGTCTCGCAAGGGGTCAAAGCCAGGAGCATCTGTGATGGTGCCTCGCCCTCCAAACTGCTCAAACAGACTTAGGTAAGATGCTGCATCCCCCAGATGCAAGACTGCCCCATTCCGAACTCTGAGGATGACCTTTTCTCTAAAAGCTGGAGTACCTGAAGGAGCCCACCAACAACAACGCAGAGGACTCTACACTGAGCGGCCCTAATGGGACCATTATCTGTCCTCATGTCCTGGTACTGAAGCTTCTACCTGGATCCCATGGCTAGGAGTCAACCTATAGCTGAGTCCTGATGCTGAAAATTTAGCCTACACCCAGGTCCTCCAGGGCTGACCCAACTTACTGCTGAAGGGGAGGCCTCAGGTGCAGGGGCCACTGGCCTCTCCCCAGTGCCTCATCACTATAGCATACATGAGCACACATCAGGGTCTTCCTAAAGAAGCCTGGCCAGTCCACGGAGCACCTTTGTGCAAATTGGAAAAAGGTGCTCCTTCTGGGGGTAATGCAGGTGTCCAACATTCACGATGGTACACACAGCTGGCCTACCTCCTGGACCGGCACTGGTTTCCTGGCACTGCTTTCTGGACTCTTAAAACCTGCTTGCCTGCCACGCTTGTTCCTGACACTGACAGGTGTACTCCCCAGCAAACGTGAATTTTCCTGCCTAAACAGTCTCCTGGTAGATTATCTTCTGTGGCTAGTACAAACTAATTTTAACAGAATTCAGGAGATACGCTCAGAGAAAAGGTGAGGTGGAAGGCAGGGACGGGGGATGGAAAGCTGGGCAGGGGTGGGGAAATGCGTGGGGACAGGGAGGAGAGAGGACCCTGTCTAAAAATAGTCATCAAGCACATACCACTAGCCCTGCACTTGGCTGGCTTGGCCATGTAACCATGGCAATGAATTCTAGGCTCTGCAAACAAGAACTGCAAACAAGAACTGCAAACTCCTTCCTTCCTACGAGCCAAGAGCAGTGCCGAAGGAACTGCGAACAATCTCCCCTACTCAAAGGAAGTTTTACAAATCTTCTAAAGCCAGCCTGGGAGAGCACATCCAGGGGTTGAGAACTAAGAGCCGTCAGGCATAAAACAAACCCAGGAGTCAGAGCAGTTCTTACAAACCCCAGCCAGTAAATAACAGAGGAATGAAGAGCATACCGGGACACTCAGACCTAACTCACACTTAGAACATCTAATCAAACTGGGAGACAGAGTAGTTCCCTAGGTCTTCAGCGATACAAACTGGGGCTGGGGAGTCTGTGAGAAAGTGACACTGTTAAAACAAGAAGTTATAGCTGAAGGACTAAGCCCTGCCCACACCTTCCCTGGCCTTGCTGGCAGAGGACACTAAGTCACATGTCTTGGGTCTTTGGGGCTGGGCTAGGACTGAGGGTAGCACAAGGCTGGCACTCACCTGGGCTGGGGGCACAGCAGGGGTGACAGTCCCAGCTCCTTGGTATCCCGGATAACTTGGCACTGGCTGCTGCTGCTGCCCGGGAGGTGGCATTGGCGGCTGCCCAGGGTAGGTCATTGGCGGCTGCCCAGGGTAGGCCCCTGGAGGCTGCTGTCCAGGAGGCGGCACGGCCTGGCCTGGCACAGGGGCCCCTGGGTATGGTGGATATGAAGGCATCCCAGAGGGTGGATTTCCTCCAGGGGGTGGGTACATTCCATACGGAGGAACAGGCTGCTGGGTAGAAGGGGGCTGCCCAAAACCCCCAGAGGGGACTGGAGGGTAACCACCCCCAGGAGCCCCAGGGTACAGGTTTGGCACGTTGGCTCCTCCGAAAGTCCCGGACACGTTGGCCGCCTGAAAAGTCCACAAAGTAGAGCCTGAGACTAACAGGGAGGCCAAGCAGGTAGGATCCCAGGGACAGCACTGCAGACCACACAGAAAAGACGCAGACAAGAAAGTCTAGCCCAATCCCACCGCCAGTGAAGAGAAGACGGTGCCTTCCCTTCCTTCCTTCCTTCCTTCCATCCCCGCCCTGAGCTCTGCAGCAGGCTCCCAGGAGCTGCACTTCAAGCTCAAGCCGAGTCTGAGAACCGGGACACTGTCCCACATACCCTTCACCTGCACTCTGACCCCCTAACCTGCTCTCGTGCCCAAAGCCCCCACACTTGCTCTAACACCACATAGCTTACTTATGGTGATCGCCTGTCTCTTCCCAGTGGCAAGAAGTACCGTGAGGCTAAGATTGTGATTTGTTATATTCACATATCCGCAGTGCCCCTACCGGGCCTGGCACAAATTAGACTACGTACTGGTTGCACTGTTTACTTTCATGTATTTGTTTTCAGATTACAAAATAATCTGAAAAAGCTGCATGTCTGCCCATGTTGCCAGATACCCACTCACACACACAAATACAGACAAATGCACATGGACACTTATACACGGCTCATGCACACGTGTACATGTACCTACTCTCGCCTTCCCCGACTCTATGCTGAGCTCACACAGAAGGTTGTCAATACACATTCCATGTAGGCACCGCCCCTACCCGATCCCCCACAGCTGAGAGGGGCCTGAGAGACTGTGCAGCCCAATGCCTTCCCCTTCCCTGATTTCACAGCTGAGCAAATCAAGATGCAGAGAAGGACAGTGAGCAGCAGGTAAGAGCCCTGAGAAAAACCCACATGTCCTAAGATGCCCCTCAACGAACTTGGGACCCAGCACACAGACAGACGCTACTGACACCACGGAAGCCAGCAGCCTTCATCCCTCTGGCCATGCAGGGGTGGGCCCAGGGCAGCCCAGCAGGAGGGCTGGACTCACCATTCCTGAGAGGTAGTCCCGGTTGAACTGCCCTGCGTAGTTGGCCACGTTATCCAGCCCAATGGGGGGCATGTTGGGAGGCGGGTAGCCAGCACCTCCCCAGGCACCACCACCTGGAAGCAACACCAAGCCAGTCAGTACCAGGTTGGACTCCCAACAGAAAAAGGCAGAAACAGCAAGCTCCCAGGTGGTCAGGAAAGGAAGCCAAGCATGACCCCAGGGACAGTGCTATAGAAAACACCCAGGCAAGAAAATCTAACCCAATCCTGATGCCAAAGGAAGAGGGAGCCTTCCCCTCCTTTCAGGGAGGAAGCGGGGCTGGGTTCGGCAAACACTCCCAAGGCTCTCTGTAGGGTACTAAGAAGGCAGGAGGGCCAAGGGCAAACCTGCCCTCCTGGGCTCATCATTGTAGAGTGGGAGTGCAGACACAGGACCTGTCGTTTTAGGACACTGCTGAAATGAGCTCAGGGAGCCTGAGAATCCAGGGAAATGCAAAAGCATGGCAGGAGTTGGGGTGGGTCCTGCAGCTGTGGCTGTTTGCTATCGCAGGTCTATAAGAGGCAGGGAGAAGCAGGACGGGAGGATGGAGGTAGATGTAGATGTACCTGGGTCACGGAAAACACAGACTCGTCCTTGTAAGGGGGACGATGAGGGAACCACAGTAAAAAGCCCCAGCTCTGAAACCAGCTGAACCAAGGTATGTGCCCTGGGGCAAGACGTTCACCACTCTAGTTCAGTTTGCTCTGCTGACAAGTGAGGATGCTAACTGCTATGCTGAGGATTGAGTTAACACCTATGCAGGGCTTAGCTTGGTGCTCTATAAGCTTCTGTGTTACAGCTGTCACTGTGACAAGCAGCATAACAGTGTGGGCTGCTGGCCTGTTAGATGCATTTCTGTTCTCAGCAGCAAAAAGGCTTTGGGGGCCACGAATGTGGCTTTTCAGCTCTAGGGCTCTAGGACACTCAGGACAGAGCCTTCCTGGAATCACCTGCCTGTTCCCTTTCTTGCTGCTCAGGTGCTGATAGCGGTGGCAGTGGTAGGATACGGAGGGCAGGATTCCTACTGGAGAGAGAAGACTGAGGCCAGAGCTGGCAGATCTGGGCTAAGCCTTTTTTAGAGCAAAATGGCCCAGCTTAACCCCCGATAAGCCATGTGACAGTGGCTGAGTTGCCTCCCAGCTCTGTGCCTGTTCTTCACCTGTAAATAGGAGGGTGGGTACAAATGGCCTGCAGGGCCCTCAGTGCCTAGATGGGAGGACCTCAGCTCTAGGGAAAAATGAGGGGGTCCTGAGGAAATGACTGGAAAGCATTCTTACTCCTCCCTTCCACTCCTGGATGCAAAGCAGAGAAGGCATCCCCTCCCCAGACCCCCAGACCCTCTTACCTGGTGCAGCTGGGGGGTAGCCGCCTGCGGGCGGTGGGTAGCCTGGGTAGCTCATGGTTGGATCTGTAAGAAAGAGGAAAGCCACTCAGGCTCTGCCAGGAGCTCCCAATCAGCCAAACCAGCAGCTTCTTGGGAGAACAGCAACAGCCACAAGCTAGGCCCCTGCAGGAAAAGTTGCATCAGGCTGGATTGTGGCAACCCATTTACCCTCTACCTGCTGGGGCCTCCAGCTAGAAACAGCAACTGAGGCAGGCTTGTCTTCAGAGCCAGACTCTTGTCCACACCCACCATGATAGAATTTATCATCCATGAGTGGTGGGCAGGTTTCTTGAAAAACCTTCCATCCTACCTCTCCTGACAAAGGGAGGCTGCATGTGTATGAGGCTGTTCTCCCGCCCCTGGACAGAATGCACTGCCTCATTCTCAGGGGTCCACATCTGTTTGTCTTTATCTTCCAGTGTCCTTATCACCACCCATCCAAGAAGGGACCAGAGTCCCTGTCTCCCTGTGCCCAAGCTGTATACCCCAAGCTCTCACAGAGGCCACCAGACTGGATAGGCCCTAGGCTACAATTTTCATTCTCCAACCTCTGGTTCATCCAGCAAGAGACCCTGGTATGGAACAAGAAGGGACCTCAGGAGGGTTCATCTGATCCAGGATCTGGAATCAGGCAAGGGAGGCTGCACCACCTTGTTTCTAAGAGGCAGTTGGAACTCAGAAAGAGTAAGTGACTTGCAGATCAGTAGTAAGAGGAGAAAGCCCTGGAACTGGGGGCTCTTACCTGCTGGTGCTGGGTGGAACACCTACTCTCACCAAGTCCCTTTGTATAGATCCCTCTGCTGTGTCCCATGACAATTAAACTGCCCAGGTAGGACAGATCTCCCACGACAGCAGCCACCCAGAAACTGTCATGCAACCTGCCTACTCCTGCTGCTGAGGTTTGCAGAGGCAACCAATGACAGGTGAGGGTGTGTGAGGAAAGCTGCTGGCCCCAGATGAGACTCTGCCTCCATGCTGGGCTGCATGCCAGCAGAGGCCACTGGTTCTCCAGCTGCAGCACACCAGAACCACCTGGAGGGCTTGTTAAACACATGGTGGACTCCACTCACAGTTTGAGTCAGCAGAACTAGAATTTGCACGTCTAACAAGTTCCCAGGTGGTGCTGCTGGTCTGGGGGCTCCACTTTGAAAAACACCGCTCAAGAGGCTGCTATCCACCTACAGGAATTCTAGTTGGCTTCTTAGCTATGTCAAAGAACTAGGCATGCTGTTTGGTGCTGCCTTCAGGCTGACATCTTGTGGCTGGTGAGGTATCAGTACAAAGCCCTCCAGGTCCTGCACCCAGCCAGATACTTCTGCCAGACTCTCATACCTCGCTGATGAGGAGATACCCTGGGGATCTGAATGATGAGTGGGCCAGGAACCTTGTGATGGGGGAAAGGAGGAATTCCCCTGCAAGAGGACAGGGTAAGCTGCAGTTGTGTTCTTGACACCTTTCTTTCTGGGGATCACTACTATGTAGAAGCTTTGGGCACCAAAGATGCCCCCTCCATGACTCATCTCCTTCCAGAGTAATGAGGCCAACAGGCCCCAGCCACGGCCAGGTGGGAGGGAAAAAAAAAAAAACAGAACAAAAGCTGGATGCTACCCTATTCCATACCCCAAAATAAATTTCAGCCAGACCAAAGATTTAAATGTAAGAAGTGGCCTGAATTCCAAAGACATAAAATTAAAGTTCTGCATGACAAGAAACAAATAAAGAAAACAATATAACGACAAGAGAAATGACAAATTTCGTAAAAATATTTTACAGTACAATAAAGACCAATAACCACTAGAGAAACTCAAATAAGTGAACAGGCAATTAGTGAGTATTTACTCTCCCTAATATGCTGAGATCGCCAATTAAAAATGTGGAGATGTCAAAATTAAAAATGACATACTCTTCAACCCAGAAACTGGACTTCTGGAAATCTATTTCACAAACCCTTACACCTGTGTGAGATGACATCTGCACACAAATTTGACCGCAGCATTATTTGTTACACCAACAACAAATCCCTAAATCTCCACCTATACGAGGCTGGTGAAATAAATCACGATAGAGCCATACAATGGATACTCTAGCTATTTTTAGAATTACCAGCTCTATATACGGAGATATGAAATGACCGCCATTATTATTTTAATTAGTTTCAAGTATACAGTACATTGGTTAGACATTTATATAGTTTATGAAACAATCCCCCTGATAACTCTATCTTCCCTCTGGCTTTACACATAGCCATTACCTTACTGCCACCTGCATTCCCTATGCCGTGTTCCCCATCCTGGTGACCCTCTATCAACGACTAAGTTGTACTGCTTTAAACTTTCACTGCTTCTCCCAGTCACCCCGCCCCCGCCCAAAATGATCATCATTATTAATCAAGGTATAATACTAAGCTCATTTTTTAAAAAAAGAAAAACAAACTGAGTGGTGTGTATACACACACACACACACACACACACACACACACACACACGCCTAGAACAGTAAACAAGAAACTGGATAACACTGGTTGCCTTTGGAGAAAAAAACTGGGGCCAGAATTAAACTTACTGTTTATATATTTGCATTTTTTCCACATGCATATATTGCCTATTAAGAAAACATCTTTTAAAAAGGCCCAATTCAGGTGGGGATTTCTGAGCTCACTGGAAGCTGTGGCTGTTCTTCCAAGACTTGAATAACTCACACAGGGTCCATTCAGTCTAAGGCAGTCCAGCTCTGAGCCTGGGGTTAGCATTATTATATCAATATACCATGAAACTCCAGCAGCCGGGGTGCCCCACCTGGGGCAGGACCGCAAGTCAGCCTCAGCCTGCTCCCAGGGTGACTGTGCTCATTCCCACCAGGGCTTCAGAGTTCCTGGCAAGCATCAGAATCTGTCCCCTGGCAGTGAGCTCCGCCCTGGAGTGCCCCACAGGCTGAGTCTAATCAGGACGCAGTCCTTCGTCCCTGGGCTTTCCCCTGTCCCCCAAGAGACCTCCAGTCTTCCCCTCCTGAAGAAAACATTTTCCCCACCATTTCCTGCCTGAAATACTTTTGAGTCTGTGACCCACTCCTTTCTTTTGCTGAGTCTCTTCAGAACCAGAAGCCCCAGGCGTGGTCTGGAGAGCATAGGGCAGGACCTTTCCCCTCCCTTCTTTCTCTCCACCTCCTTGACTGGTAACACCTGGGTATTCCGGACAATGGAGACCTGAGGCGGATTCCTGTTAAATTCCTCCTTTACCTCCCCATCCAGGGCTGCAGCCTACTGACATCTCCTGGGATTCTGACCTATATCAGACATCTCAGCGCACTCTCACATAGCTTTGTTTTATATCCACCGATATAGAAAGGGCCAAGGACAAACACTCCTGAGCTGTCACTGCTGACCACTCTCCAGACTAATAACAGTGGGTACAGGTATTCAACCAATTATCTGGCCACCTAACTCCACCACAATCCAGGACACATTTCTCCATGGCATTCACAGCAGTATAGAGAGTCTCTGTCAAATGAGGGTTCTAGCACATCTCCCATGCTCAGAGCCCCGCCCCCTTTAACTTCTAATAACTCCTAGGTGAAAAGCAAACCAGCCAGAGTCTGGGGTGACCTTGGGCGACCCACCCTGGCTCCCAGTGCCTACCCAACTATCACACATCCTAGGAAGGTGCAGGGATCTGCATGCAGCTCTGATTCATGCATCCACATTCTCCCCTCCTCCCCACCACTTTTTTTTTAAATAAAGAAATCTGCTCATCATCCAGTCTTTGGGTAACTTTGGTCTCCACTACTCAGTAGAAGCCACCACGGCCTGCTGTCCTTGGCGAAGTCATTCTCAGGACCCTGGGGATGCCATATCCTAGCTCAGAGGGGAGCTCACCTTCCCCTCCCAACGCCTGTCCTACCTCACTCACTGTCCACAACAGAAGGGAACACAGTGCATTAGAATCCAACAGATTTGCTTTTTCTCTGGCATCCACGAGTACCACACCTTCTGCACTCTCCAATGCCTTTCTCCTACTTTTGTCCTTCCACAAAGAAAAAGGGTGTCTGGATAGGATGCTTCATATTGCTGATGTGATTCTGACAGGCAGGGCACATCCCTGTTCTATGCCAGTTCTGGTCAGGCACTTAGACATTGTAATGCATGGCAGAGGGCTGGTCTCTTTCAGGTCTGCTCCAATTCTTAGAAAGCAGCCTCTGGAGGACTTCTGGCCTCTGGTCCTGCCTCTCTTGGGGCCACTGCAGGAAAACTATCACCCTTCCTTCCTCACTGGGTCCATCTATCTGCAGCTGACATACAGCTGTAGCCCTTGTGCTTCTCAAATTACAGTCTGCAAAACAACCACCTGTTGGGCTTGTTAAAACCTAGATTTCTAGGTCCCTCCCCCACAATATCCGAATCAGCAGATTAGGACAGACCTCCCAAATCTGCATTTCCAATGTGCTTCCTGGTGATGCTGACGCTGCTTGACTACTTTGGGTAGCACTTTGGGTAACACTGCATTATCATGCAGGAGAATCACCTGGAGAGCTCAGTAAGAATGCAGACACCTGGGTGGGCTTCAGTCATTCTGGGCCCTTCAACCTGGATGGGCCCTGGAATCAGAAATTTAAACAAGTACCCCATTCCCTGCGATTCTGTGCTCCACACTCTAGGAAGCACTCTTCCTTTGAGGTACTTGGGCACTTTCTAGCTTATACTCTCTAGCTTTTATTCCCAGCTGGATGTTCTGAGGATAAGCACCAGAGCCTGGGTGACCTAGTATCCCATCAGAACCAAGCCTTGGAGCACTAGAGAAATGCTGAAAAAATACAGCAGGTACATAGGAGATTTTTCAAGGACCATAAATACGCCTATTCCCTAAAGCTGTGTGTATATACACAAGTATACCATTAAATTTCAAGGGTTCCACAAGGGCACTAGCCGGAGTCCCCAAACACAGGAATCTAGGAGTGCCGTGTTGGAGAAAAAGCAAAATCAACCAGAAGAAGAACCTGCACCCAACAACGAGAGATGGAGACTCGGGCTG